GACAAGTGCGCTCCTATTTATCAGACCCTCAATACGGGAGTTAAGTTTCAGTGGACTGTCGCTTGTAGTGATGACAATTACCCAGACCCGCCCCTGACCCTGTCCGACCCGCCTCTGAAGGGTCAAGATGTATAAATGACCCGACCCGCCCTTGTTTCCTTCTTGACCCTGTCTGACCCTCAAGGGTCGGGGCGGGTCAGGGAGGTTCGGGTCAGTGGGTTGACCCTTATCAACACACTGATTTTTTACAATTATGTTTTGGTACCCAAAATTATTTTTTCTTACAATTTAGTACATAATTTTTTTTAACAAATAAGTCCTTTAATTTTGATGGTAAATTACATTTTGGTACCCAAATTTATTTATTTATACAATTTAGTACCTAAAGTTTTAAAATTTTACAAATAGGTCCAATGTGTTTGTATGTGAAATTTCATATCTAAGGTCACAGGGTCAAAAAGTGACCCGACCCTAAACTGACCCACCCCGCCCACCCTTACAGGGTCAAAACATGACCCGACCCGGGTCGGGGCGTGTCAGTGCGTTTTTAGGGTCAAGTTTACACCCCTAGTCGTTTGTGGGGCAGCATTTGATGAGTTAAAGTCTCACCTAATATTACCCCCTATTTTGGTAGAACCACCACGTAAGGAAAAGTTGTTCCTCTATATTTTTGTGTCCATACGAGCAGTAAGCATAATTATCATGTATAGAAAGACGGGAAAGGAAGAGAAACATTTATATTATACGTCGAGAACGCTAATAGACCCGAGGCACGATACCCGCCAATAGAGAAGGTTGCTTTGACACTCGTAAGTGACTCACATAAAATGCTCCCTTACATCCAAGTCCACCCTATCATGGTCCTCAACATCCTCCCACCTAAGGGTATCTTGAGCACAATGGAGGTCTCAGGAAGACTTGTGAAATTGGCCATCGAGCTATCTTTATACCACATCTTATATGCCTCTCGACCAGTGGTTAAGGGCCAAATATTAGAAGACTTCATCAATGAGGGCGTTGTCAAGGATCCTCCCACTAAAGGAACGTGGGACATATATACGGATGGAGTGGCTAGTAGCCATAGTGTCCGTATAGGTATAGATATCTGCACACCGCTCGAAGCAATCCATGGAATAACTTTACGCTTCAAAACACTAAAAACAAATAAAAAAGTGGATATGAAGTTGGTTAGCTATGTTACATTTGGCAAATGAATTGTGGACAAATATGAATTCTATCTGATTTTGCGCTTATTATTAACTAGTGGATCAAAGAATTTGATGCCAAAGATGAGACGCTCGCCCCATACATGCATTGGGTTAAGCGTTTCTTTCAATCTTTCAACCTACACCCACATACCAAGGGAGGAAAACATGCCCGCGAATGCAATTTATAAACTCACCACAACAACATATTTTGAAGAATCAATAAGCAAGACATGTGATGATACAAAAGGAAGGGTATGCTGTCGACTAAGCAGCACAATTGAACACAACGCATGTCGGAGAAGAGATTGATTGGCATACACCCATCGTCAAATACCTGAGCAATGAAACTGTCCCCAATGACCCATAAGAGGCATGGGCCATAAGGCAGAAAGCAGCTCGGTGCACAGTGATAGGTCATGAACCGTAACAACGATCACATGAAGGGATATAACCTTAAATGTCTCGGAAAGACATATGCTTGACATTTGGTCAAGGAACTTCATGAAGGGTTATGAGCCATGCACAACGGCTCGAGAAGCTTAGAATGGACAATTTTGCTCCACGATTATTGTTGTCCATGCATTACAAAGGACGTTAGACGTTTGTCGAGCAATGCCGCAAATGCATATTGTACTCACACCAACATCATTTGCCATCCGCAGAGCTCAAGGAAAATATAAGTACTTGGTCGTTTGCACAATGGAGACTTGACCATCTGAGCCCTTTCCCCATCACCACGAAAAAGCACAAGTACATAATAGTGGAGGTAGATCGCTTCACCAAATGGGTAGAGGCAGAACCTCTCTCATCCATAACATCCCACCAGATTACGCGCTTCATAATGTTCAACATTATAATACGCTTTAGTGTACCAAAGTCCTTAATCTTTAACCACAAAAAGCAGTTTGATTGTGTAGCGATATTCTACTTGTGTGACCAGATGGGACTGTGACATGCTTGGCATCCTTCACCAACCCTCAGGAAAATGGTCAAGCAGAGGTAGCCAACAAATCCATTCAACGGATTAAAGTTTCTTCTAGTATCACGTTGTTGTATGATCTGCACAAAAAAAAAACATACTGGAGCGTAATAACTTGAAATAAAATGGAACACAAGATGATTAGCTTCTTTCAAATACTGTAAAAATTCTTCGACAATGGAGCCAAAAACTTGAATAGAGATCGGCTAACCATCTCTCTTCGTGTAATGCTTGATGAATCGAGTTACAAGTTTCTTCTAGTATCACATCGTTGTATGATATGCAAAAAAAAAATATACTGGATTGTAATAACTTGAAACAAAATGGAACACAAGATGATTAGCTTCTTTTAAATACTATAAAAAATCTCTGGCAATGTCGCCAAAAACTTGTTGTTCAATAACTATTAGTATTGCAATTGAAGTAATAAATTTCCTAGGTATGCTAAGGTCATTCCACGAGTCTTTTGATATGAATAAAGTATCTCATTGAATCATACAAAGTAGATTATGAAGCGTCAAAGAATTCGCATCCCTAAACAATGTTTGACATAGCTGGACATATAAGAGGTTGATGACACCACCATTAATGATTAAGGCATCTCCATGAAGCTCGGCAGAATTTCCTCTCTCTTATGCTTGCTAACTCTAGATAACTCGTGCCCTCTTGGGCAGTGGGGGTAAAGGTTGTATTTAAAGCTAGAACCTAAGCTTCTATTTATATTACATCAGGGAAGGGGGTTTCTAGGATTTTCCTCCTAAAGTCGGCCAAACGAATCTTGATACCACTGGGATATGAATTTCTTAACTTGGGGCCGAAATAAGGCATATTTTCAACGATTCCATGGTCCTGGACCGACCACGGCCTCCTAGCAGTCACCACCATCAAGGGGTTTCTTCATGGGCTAGGTGGATTGTGGGCCAAACAACTTCTCTTATAAATTTGGACACAACTTGATGGGTTTTGACCCGCTTGGACCTTCATCAATGGTAAACCCGCTGCATTACCGGATTTGCTTCTATATGTTATAAAGTGAGCATCTCATGTCCAAATCCATCTATGTTTGAGCCATGAGCTTGTAATGTTGTCCTCCTTCTGATCTATTGATGATCCATAATCATCTTGAGAGTATTATATCCATGGAAAGCACAAGCTAACACCAAAAGGCAAAAAATAGTACAATAACACAATATTAGTCAAATAATTACGATATTTATAAGAACTATAAAACATATACTAAAAATGCATTGATAGAAGGGAAAATATATCAAATATGAGAGTGATAAAACACTATAAATCGAGTGTCATCACCTTCATTAAATTGCAGTCAACCCATGCCAACCTATAAGTAGAGGGATTCGACCTAAGTAACAACCTTTTCTCCTGTGATCTCCCTTGGAGTTAGTTTTGTTTCTATGATTTTTTGGTTAGTTTAGTTCGTACTTAAACCTCAGGAATCACCACCCTACTACTTCGCCAATCAAGGGTACACTTGTCCTAGATTAAGGTAGTTAGTATTGTCAACGAATCGAACTATAAATTGTAATGCTCGATGTTAAGCATCAAGTATTAATTGGACAACAAACCAATAGTTAAATCGTATAAAGTGACGAAGGATCCAAAGACCCAAGGAATATGGCATCATCACCACTATACTACTTCGTCAAATCTAGAGTATACTTGACCTAGATGGGGTTTGTAGTGTTAAGGGACGAACCATCCACTTCATTATTTTTGTGTGATTATATATAATCTCGGTTGTCAAACCAGTGGTAGATTGACTAGTTCAATCGAGTTCAACTGGTATCGATCATTAAACACACTCATTATTGGTCTCATATTGTCCTATATATTTTGCTAAACCGGCATAAATCGATTGTATCCAAGGTTGTCAAACCCGGTTTAGTCCATTAGCCCGGTTGAGCAAGTGGATTGATTCATTCGCTTTAGCCTGATTTAACCCGAATATATGAAAAATTCATTATATTGTTCATACATTTATAAATTATATCAAATATCATCCAACAAATGAGTAATAACATATAACTTTACACCAAAGTAATATGTTGTACTTGGATCCAACATTTATTCAAAATTCACACACTTATATAACATCAATTTTCAAATTTTAACTTAGAATTCCATAGATAGAGTTTGACGAAGAGGAAAACCGAAAATAGGCGCATTTCTCAAATCAAAGGAAAAAATCATATCGTGTGACCTCAAAACCGACAACTTTACAATGGGTCGACCTGACAAATATGTATGACCCATTTTTCTCACCAGGTCAAAATTAAAACGGGTAAACCAACAAATCAAGTCGAGAGTTGACAACCTTGATTGTATCGGATCAAATCATACCACTTGTATATTTAAATTTTAATCGTACGGTCACTTTTTCTGGTTTCATCTCTTTTTAGGGAAAGTTTCTGGTTCCATCTCTACTAGTACTAGTATATTATGGTAAACTAAAAACTGAAATAATGACCGCTCGCTGAAGTTGCCTGGATCGGCGATAAAAGAAAAGGGGAAAATATCAGTAATAAACAAAGAATTCTACAAAAAATGATAATTAGGGAAAGGGGATTTTTCGGATTCGAGAATTGGGTATGCAGTAAGCATCTCCTTTCCTCCCCTGTGGTTAGATCGGGACTTCCCATCTCTCTCTCCCTCTCTGCTCTACTCTGTTTCTTCTTCTTTACTTCTCTTCGTTCTTTTCTCCTTTTCTTCTGCCCTTCCTCGCTTTGGATTCACAATCTTAATCCTCCACTCTAGCCAGCAGCCTTCCGTTTCAACTAGCGAGCGCCCAAAAAATGTCGGAGAAAGTATTCCCAGCTTCGAAACCGGCGGCAAATGGCACGGCCGGGACCAACGGCGCCGCCGCCGCCCCGGCCTCCGCCGCCACCACCACCGTCCCCAACCCAACTGCCGCCACTAACAAATCCCACCTCTACAACCCAACTTCACGCCTGCCGTACCGCCCCCAGCCCCACAACCGACGGCGCCGAACGCGGAGCGGGAGGAGCATCTGCTGCTGCTGCTGCTTCTGGACAATTCTCGTGATCCTCCTGCTCCTCCTGGTGGCCGCAATCGCCGGCGCCGCGCTGTACACCCTCTACCGCCCCCACCGCCCGGCCTTCTCGATCCCGTCCCTCCGAATCCACCGCCTGAATCTCACGACCGCCGCCGACTCCGCCACGTCCCACGTCTCCACGCTCCTCAACTTCACGGTCATCGCCAAGAACCCCAATTCCCACCTCTCCTTCTCCTACGACCCATTCACCGTCAGCGCCTCCTCCGGCGACGTCTTCCTCGGCAACGGGACCCTCCCGGCGTTCTCGCTGAGCAAGAAGAACGAGACGAGCCTGAGGAACGTGGTGGTGTCCGGGTCGAACGAGGTGGACGCGGAGTCGGTGAACGGGCTCAGATCGGATCTGAAGAAGAGGAATGGAGTGGCGGCGCTCAAGATTCAGCTGGACACCAAAGTGGTTGTGAAGGTGGGGAAGGTGAAGACGAAGAAAGTGGGGATTCGGGTCACCTGTGAGGACATTAAAGGGACGGTACCGAAAGGTAAGGCTCCTCCCTCTGTTGCTGTAACTGCTGGGTCCAAGTGTAAGGTGGATCTGAGAATCAAGATCTGGAAGGTCACTTTCTGAGTAAGCTTTCATAGTCATGGATCCAATTACTGTTTTTTTTTTCCTTCTTTTCTTTTTCTTCTTATTTCTTCCCCACCCTTTTACTCAAATTGCTCCCATCTTAATTCCTTCCTCTTCTTCTTGTAACCTTCTCTTTGTTCTTTTTCCCCATTGCTCGTTTGGGTCTGTTTTGCTTTTCTGGGTTTGTCCTGTTTTCTTCATCTTTTGATCTTTGGGGGGATCTGTAAACATTTTGCGGAATATGTGAACATTGCAATTACGAATTTGAGGAAGAGGATGACAGAGATGATTCAGATCGGGGAAAAGGAATATTTCATTTTCTTGAGCATGAAGGTGTTCCCTGTGTTGTTGAATTTTGGACAATACAGTCGAGGAAATGTTCTGTTTGTAGTTTGAAAGATGAATCTCCTCCTCTTCTTTGTGAATTCTCTCTGTGCCGATATTAGTTTCCGGTAAACTAAAGCAAAGTTGGGAAGGGAATCAAATTGAGTGGCAAAAGGAGGAGAAACGGAACGCTAGATCCAAGATGGGGAGGAGGGTGGCTTTGCTTTGGCTGATTGGCTCCTCCGGGCTTTCCTCCTCCCTCTATATGCTTTAACCAATTAATAATATATCTCTACTGAATTCAGTAGTAGAAGTTGTCGTTTTTTAGTTTGTGGGTTAAGTTGATAAAATGGGCGGTGCCTGTTTTCAATTTCATTATAAAAAAAAAAAAAATTAGGAAACATGGGGAATGGTGGAGGCAAATAGCCATTAGTAGGTCGGTAGGCTGCTGCTCTCTGTTCACTTCCGCTTCAATTTCAGAACCCAGGCACACAGAGAGGTACAGAGGTCAGAGAGAGTGTGAGACAGAGAGAGAGAGTCTTTCACTTTTGACTTGGATAACAGCAATTGCGCTGCTGAACGCATACTCCCCTCCCGCGCCGGCCATCACGAATTTGCAGTCGTTGTTTTGGTTTGAAGTTGTTGGACGCATTCATAATGTTGGATTGGCGGGTGTGATGTAGGGATGGGTACCCGATTCGGTAAATTCGGACTCGAAATTCTGAATTCATCCTCATTATGTCTGATTCTTCTAATCCTCAAACTGAATTGCACAATTGATTGAAGTCTGAACTCAATTGTCAACCCCACCTAGTCGCAGGTTAAGCGCAGGGGAGGCTATAGCTTATTTCATAAACTCAATAGCTCGTTACCGCGACAATATAATGATTTTGAAATATTTTTTGTTCTTTCTGTTCATGAAAGAAAATGTTTTCTCAACTAAGGTTTTAAAGATTAGAGTTTTTTGTTAACTTGAACTTCATAGCTCAAGATCAATCAAGGAAATTGTATTAATCTTGAACCAATAATATATCATTGATTCATTTTTCTATTCGGTTAGTATGGATGTTTTATTTAATTCTTCATGATAGTTTCGGAACAAGCTTCCATCAGTCTTACTATATATTTTTTTTCTGTTTAAGAACATGTCCATGATATTGAGGATGCTTTAAAGAAATTACGTGCCCGTTGAAGTGCCGTCAGAATCGGATTAGACATTTGGCCCGAATTAGAAAGAGAAATTCACGATTTATTTGCTGACATGAGATAACCCAAAAAATCAGTTTAGAAAACGGCTAACAACATATAACTAATATGATAAAAATAAAATCGGTAACATGTTTTAATATAATCTTTCCTGGAAAAAAAATGATGATGATAATAATTCATAATAGGATTTCGCATGGGTTGTGTAGGTTGATCTTGTTTTATGATAAGTAAAGTGAGTGTTGAGTCCAGTACGGGGTTTGAACTTTGAGCTCAGTTAGATTAGCAATTTAGCACACTTATTTATTGATTGATTGAGTAGGGAGGATCCGGTTTTGAGGTGTAGTGTTTAAGGCGCTCTATCCGTTGGGGCTCCACCTGATATGCGTTTGGCTTGTTCTCTCAACCTTGTGTCTGCTTTGGTAAGTGATAGCGCGGTAGTAGCGGTGGGAAAGAGAAAGAGGACACGAGTGCGGGAGGAGGAAGCGTAAATGGCAGGGCAGGACTCGCGCGGTAGGACAATCCGGAAGGAAACTGTACAAACAAATGTCGACCACTCAGCAAATATTGGAATTATGGAATATGCTAGTACCAAATTGTTTTAGTACCCAAAAAAAAAAAATAAGAAGAAAAATACGTATACAGAAACGGAATTTAGTGACGTGGAGGATGATCCTGCGGTCCGTTATGTGTCTCCTTCCACTACTTCTTTTTTTTTTTTTTTTTTTTTTTTTTTTGCCATAGATAGATGGAAATAAATAGTCAGAGAACATCACACAACCAAACGCGCCAGTCGACAAGTAGTCGAACTGCCGATAAAAGGGCCTGTTGTGCCACTAAATGGGCAGCCCTGTTAAACCTGCGAGGAGTAAATGTACACGAAAACATGGAGAAGGAAGAAACCGCCACTCGTATCTCCTCCAAAAGCGCACCGCCTCGACCATGCGCCACATCCCTTTCCTTGACCGCTCGTACCAATGTTTGGCAGTCCCCGCAGAAATTCACAACCAGGAAACCATGCATTAGACACCAGTTAATTGCATCCCGAAGCGCTAACAGTTCCATGAGGAAAGGATCATCTATACCTGGATAGTGTTTGCCAAGCGCGAATAGCACGGCACCTGTCATCGAAAAGCCCACAAAGCCAATACCCCCCCTGCGCCTTGTCTCCAAGCTCCATCCACCCGGACTAGTACCCCACCCGGATGGCACTCCCCGTCGCGGTCGGATTGTCCACGTGGATTAACTTGCCGCCCCTGGTGAGTGTGATTATGGTTTCCCTGGTGCAAGGCAAGAGGCTCAGTGGCAGCCCGCCATTCCTCCACCTGAGCCCGAAATTGCCGAAGAAGTGCTGGTCCCAAGTATTGAATTCGTTTATGGACCGCCCAACACCTCGATTTCCAAACTCGCCAACATAGGAAAATAACATTAGCAACCTCATTTTTGTTAATACGACAATCAAAGAAGAGGACCCGCCACTACTTCCCCCGTAGTAACTTTTTTTTAGAGCAGAGAATAGACAAATCTGGCCTGGCCTGACCTGTGTGGTTGCATGTGCACCCGCTCCCGTTGGTAAAATATATCTTTCATATCCTCATAACGTAATTATCAATTTATCATACTGTCCAAATTTTATTTCATCAAATCTAGTGATTTAAAAAAAAACACCTTGTTTTTTAGTCACAATTAACATATTCGAATTTAATTTTTAAATTCAAAATCTCTACATAAATAGAGATCTAATAAGTAGAGATTTGCCGAGGGTAAGACACCCTAGTTGGTAAAATGGTTGGTTTCGAGTTTGGGATGTGACAAAGTTTCAGGTTCGAATCCTAGTACCACCTTCTTGGTGTTCTCGGTGTTGAGTGATATATGTTTATGTAGGCTTGGGCCTTAGCCCATAGTTATGTACGTATGTACGTACGGTTTAAGGACTGGCCGTATATGCTTAGTAGCTAGGGTTAAGATTATATGGTATGTATATATATGCTTGTAACCAGACTGTTAGGGTTAAGCTGAATAAGAAGAATACGATAGCTTCGGCCGTGGACTAGTCTCGTTCATACTGAACGGGGAAACCACGTAACTCTCGGTGTTGATCTCTACGTTCTGTTTTGATATTCTATTTCGTCTAACATGGTATCAGAGCCTATGTCTACTGATCAGATTGCAGCTCGGCTGAACTCCAAGAATTATGCGGTTTGGGAGTTTCAGTTTTGTACTCTGATCGAAGGAAAGGGGATGCTCGGTTGGCTCGACGGGACAGGTGCTCGTCCGACCACTCCTCCGGCTACAGCACAAGAAATCATGCAGTGGACAATGAATGATGCTAAGGTTCGCACTATTCTTCTGAATTCTGTTGATGGGTCGATAATCCTAGGGCTTCGTATGCTGCCCACGGCGGCCGCGATGTGGAAATATCTTGCCGATACATACAAGACAGCAAGTTCTTCACGTCGCTATGAGATCGAGGTTGAGTTGGCGTCACTATATCAAGGCGACATGGATGTGACTACGTACTATAGTGCAACGCGCAACTTGTGGGCAGAACAGGACCTTGTTACGGCGTCGCTGCTCACGACTACTAGGTCTGTCGAAGTTCGGGCTGAAAGGGAGAAAATCCGCCTCATGCATTTTCTCATGAGGCTCAATCGCGACTTCGAGCCAACCCGGGCTTCGTTGCTGAACTGTGAGAACCTCCGGGAAGAAGGCGTGCTTGCAGCACTTATTCAGGAGGAGACGCATCTAAGGACGCAAGTTGTTCTTGATGTTCGGCCGACTTCGGGTGAGGGCCAGGCTGTGTTTAGCGCAACCCAGCAGCAGCAGCGCCCCTTTGAATAAGCAGGTAGTGGAGGAAGCCGAGGTGGTTCTCGTGACCCGGCAGCCTCGATGGATGATGCGGCGTTTGCGGCCTATCGTGCTTCATTCCAACGACGCGTTAACTCCGCCGACGTGGAGTGTTTCCATTGCAAAGAGAGAGGGCACACGAAGAAATATTGCAAAAAGAGGAATCTGTGTGTGTACTGCAAAAAGACCGGGCATATCATCCCCGACTGTCCGTCTCTTGAAGGGCAGAACCGCGAGGCTGATGGACGTGGTGGAGCTCGAGGGAACGGCTCCTCGCGGCCAGCATATGTAACCCAGCAGGCGATGCCTTCAGCTAGTACAGAGGGTCTTGTTGTCACTCCTGCTGCGTTGGAGCAATTAGTGAACAAAGCTATTTCATCTGCGTTCGCTAGCCTGCAAGTCTCTGGTAAGCTTCCTAAGTGGATACTTGACTCTGCATGTTTTCATCATATGACGGGTAATGGTTCTGCTCTTAAGCATCTTCGTCCGATTGATAATGTGTCGTTACAAGTTGCTAATGGCGAAAGATTACATGTGACGGGCATGGGTTCAGTTCATACTTCGGATATTGTTTTGCCATCAACATATCATGTTCCTAACCTGGTTTCGAGTTTGGTTTCTGT